ACCGTACTAGAGTTCCTCACAAACCTACGGTAGTAGGAGGCAAGACCAAGGAAGCGTAGGAGCTGCTTCCTGGTGGTAGGCTGTGGGTAATGCTGGATGGCAAGGGTATGTATGTTTAACGGAGCTATGCTGCCACTCCCTATCTCATGGCCAAGATAACGCACTTTACCTTTAGCAAAGGTGGACTTGCCCAAGATGATGGTGAGGCCGGCTGACAGGAGCTTGGCAAACAATCGTTGTAGCTGGAGCAGATGTTCGCTCCAGGTGTTGGTTGCCACAACGATATCATCCAAGTTGGCGTAGGTGTTATCCAAGCCCTGGATGACGCGGTTGACAGCTCGCTGAAAGGTGGCCGGGGCATTACATAGTCCAAAGGGGGTTGACGGGCACAACTGGGTCTTCCGCCGCCTATCTGGAGTCTCAAGAACGTAGTTGTGGTTGTTTCTGCACTCCTTGATGCGGTAAGGTCCTGAAAACTTGTTTTGCAATGGAGAACCTGTGATAGGAAAATATGTCAACACGAAGTCTCCTGGTTTAAATTTCCTTAGTTTGCTGCGTTGGTCAAAATGAGTCTTCATCCTCTCCTGAGCTTTCAATAGATTGTCATTAGCAAATTTACGTACTCTCTCTAGAATGTGTTTTAAGTTTTGAAGAAACTGTGGTACATTCTGAGGGTCACTGAAGGTGGCATTACGTAGAGAGTCTTTGAAAGCTTTGAGAGGAGTACGGCACTTACGTCCGTAGAGCATCTCATAAGGAGATACTCCTAGAGACTCATTGGGGAGACTTCTGAAAATGCACATAATGAGGTCAAGCTGTTTATCCCAGTCCTTCAAGGTTTCATTGCAAAATTTCTTTAGGAGTGCTTTAATAGTCTGATGACTACGTTCAAGAGAACCCTGTGAAGCAGGATGATAGGGGCTGGACAGTACCTGTGTGATGTTGAACTCTTCCAGTGTCTTCTTGAAGAGATCACTGGTGAAGTTGGTGCCACAGTCACTTTGAACCTCTCTTGGAAATCCATACTGGGTGAAGATCTTCAATAGTTGTTTCACCACAGTAGCAGCCGTAATGTTCTTTACTGGAACTGCTATGGGAAATCTGGTGGTAGGGCACAGGATAGTTAGTATATAGGCGTTGCCAGAACTGGTCCGGGGTAAAGGACCGACACAGTCTATGATGAGTCTATGGAAAGGTTCTGCAGGCACCTGGATAGGATTTAATGGAGCCCGGGGAATAGAGATGTTAGGTTTACCTGCCATCTGACATGTATGACACTGTTGCACGTAACTTTTGACGTCTTTAACCATACCTGGCCAGTAGTAGTCTTGTCTGATTCCGTGGTAGGTTTTGTTAAAACTGTAGTGAGAAAGAGCTCTGTGGGCCAGGTGTAGAATATCGGGCCGCAGGCTGGTGGGAACCACTAGTTGTTCGACATTTGCCCAATCGTCGTCCTCCTTCAGCTTACTGGGTCTGTACCTGCGGTAGAGCAACTGATTCTCTACGAAGAACCCAGGGATACTGTCAGGTTGAGTCTCAGCCTGGAAGAATAATGGTGTTAATGATAGATCTTCCCTCTGTAACTTACGGAACTCCAAACTAGTAAGATTCGGTGGTAGATTCTGAGGGTGTTGAGGGACAGCGGTTGCAGTAGAGTCAACTGGTTGCGGGCGTGCAGCTTGTGCACGGGTGGTCACCAAAACCGGAGGAGAAACTTCATCACTTTCTTGGACCTCTGCTGAAACATACTTAAAGATGGGATTGTCCACTACAGAGTTACACACCTGGGGTTTGTCCATGATGATCAGGTTGGACGGTTGCAGATCTTCTGCCAAGTCGTTGCCCAGGAGAAGTTGCACTCCAGACATGGGAAAAGGCTTTTCCCTGAGAGCGACTTGGACTTCACCGGTCACAAAAGGACAATCCAGGTGGACTCTGGAGAGTGGATACGGAGTGGTAGCATTGAGGTCAGTGATAAGGACGGTTTCCCCGGTGTAGGTGATGTTAGGCACAGCTGGTTTCAATATTATTGACTGAAGAGCCGCTGTGTCCCTCAAGATCTTCAATTTGAAACGTCCCTCCGAATCTGTCCCGTTGGTAGAGACAGTTCCAGGATACAGGTGTTTGCTGAAGAGAGAAAGATCATTAACAGGAACACCAACATTCATCACAGGCTTACCGGACTTAGGAGGAGTCGGTTTGGGTTTAGGAGTTTCATTGCCTTTGTATTGGGCCTTGCCTCATCTATCTATGGTATGTCCATAGAGTTTGCAATACTTACAATACAATTGAGAGCTCGCTTGATCGGCACTCACTTTATCATAACTGTACCAAGACTTCTTACTGGAAGGTGGTTCTGGTGTAAGCCGGTGGATGAGGCTGTAGGTGTCAGCTGACTTCGCACATCTGATGTAGTCGGTTTCTTCTTTATCTGCTAAATATAAACGATAAACGGATGGAAGGGGGACCACGACTCAAGAATTCCTCAACTAGCATCAACGAGTTCTGAATATGTAGAGACATGTGCTGCTTCCAGCCATTTCATGAAATATCTTTTCTTGGTATTGGCAAATTCTAGAAAGGTGGTGGTACTTGCCTTTAGATAATCACGGAATTTTCATCTGTAGCTTTCGGTGGAGAGAAGGTAGGCGTCCAAAACTGCTTGCTTCAGGGTCTGGTCGTCATTCTTAGACGCTAAGGTACTGAGAGTAACCGCAGCTCTACCTGTGAGATGCACTCTGAGAAGGGTAGACCATTGATCGGCAGGCCAGCTAAGAACCAACGGAGTGCAGACCTACTTCAGCATCGTTGAGTCCTGGAGTGAGCTACACTTCGCTACTACCTTCTGGGGTAGTAGCAACCAGGAGCGATTATTAAGGTAGATAAATTTGCCCTCCCATTCCCCTTGTTAGGAAATGTGCATTAAATGTTAAGTGTATGAGACGAGAAATAATGTGAGAAAAAAGGCCCCGTTTTGTGAAGCCGAACTAGTTTATATATTCATTATTCATGTTGAGTCAGAGTGACATATTAACTAAGTGAAGTTTCAAGTGGCCCAATGTTCTAGAAACGGTTAGAAAGAAAAGATAGCCTCATGATTAATAATCTACAAAGACTGTTGGAGTGTTGCCATATCATTACTGACTTTCGCAGTGTTGCCATCGGTAAAATAAGTGAGATATTTTCAGACCATTTAATAATTAGTGAATACTTTTAAATATGGTGTTTACTTCCTCTCCTTCATTTCTCTGTGTTTGTCTAAGGTTTACTGAGCATCAATCATTATTGAATAAGTATCGGACTGGACGATTATATACAATTGCGACAAAAAAAGTTATCTGGCCTCAGGTGAATACAGGTCAGATTGGCGACCTTGAAATTGTAACCTTTGTGGAGGGCAAGCCTACCGAGTGAAGCCTAGTCTTCGTCTTTACGGACTTTTTTGGAGGAAGACACAGGAGCGGTCGGTTTACCTTACTTGCCACTGGGCCAAGCCGGGTCAGGAAGCTGTGACCCTATGGGCGATTAAGGTACTCCCTCTTGGTGGACACGGGCACCGAGGGAGGGGAAGTAAGGCCCGAAGTGGGAAGTGCTAGAGTGCTACAGCACTAGAGCATCACACATCTTAGCACATGAAGTGCTAAGGACTGTCATAAGCTGTGAACTCTAGAGTCTCTCACTCCTCCTAGATACGCCACACATGTCAGTGTTTTTATCCTTAATTCCGCGTGTTTCTCTAGCTGTATAGCTATCTCTTGTTAAATATTGCGTGAATGACTTTTTGGCAGCCTGGAAGCATGCAATCTGCCAAAACTTCTCTGTTCTGTCATTTTTTCGTTACTTTATCATAGAGCTCCAGCAGATTTGTTTTGCATGATTTCCTTTCCTTACTTAAAGCCATGTTGATGTTTGTTTACATACCTCATTATCTCTTGATGTTACATTTCTTATGCACTAGTAGCTTGATGCTTAGTAACTTTATTCTTACTAGTCCCATTATTATTATTATTATTATTATTATTATTATTATTATTATTATTATTATTATTATTATTATTATTATAATTATTATTATTATTCATTCATTCGAGTATTTATTCTTATTATTCATACGAGTAATTATTCGTAATGTTCATTTGAGTACTAATTCTTAGTATTCACTCGAATACTTATTCTTATTATTCATTCGAGTACTTATTCTTATTATTTATTCAATTCTTTATTCCTATTATTCATTTGAATACTGGTCTGTAGTTAAGGGCATCTTTTCTATCTCCCTTTTTATAAAATGGACCGCATTTGTCTTCTTGAAGCTGCTGGTAATTTTCACTTTGTAATTTTATAATTTCAGATCAATGCTTGAGGTATGGTGAAGGGCCTATGTCGCTTTTTTAACATAAGTGGCGATACATTATCTGGTTCAATAGCTTTATTACCTTCTATTGACGATAGCTGATACTTCATCTGCTATTACCTCAATAATTTACAGTCTCTTATCTAAGGCCTCTTCTAGCACTGAGAGCTGTTCTAGCTCAGTCGGGAAATTTCATGAAAACTGTCATTTTAGTATTAAGCGTGTGCATTTGTATGTATGTATATGTATGTTCTATATAAATTACTGTATCTATTTTAGCTCTAAAACTGCTTCTATGTACCGAGAACATAATGCTAGCTGACAGGCTGACAGGGATTGATGTGAGGCATGTAGTGGGGTGACGTCGGAGAATCTTATATCTACTTGGAAGGCTTGCAGTTGCGTGACTCCATAAGATGTTCATGTATACTTGGAAGTTTGCCTTGGCGTGGGGAGACGTTGATGTGTGGCGACTGATCCTGCAATGCCTCACAGCTGGAGTTACACCCCACCCCCCAAGCAGCCTTCTAATCTTAAGCATTTCGATCCTTAATCTCTTTACCGGGAGTCTGTACGCATGTGCGAGCGTTTGTTATCTCTGTGGGGGTGAAGTTTATCCGTCTTGATAGTTATGAATGATATCAGAGATTGGCCTGTGGTCATTTCGCTGCCGTCCTCCGCCCAACCGGTTCATAAACTTTCTCGCTCCTCGAACGAGTCAAGATTAAATTTGTCATAAATATATATATATATTTTTAATTCCGAACTCATTATAAGTGGCGTAGAAAAATAATCTAAATCATGTCTGGGAAAAGAAGTTCAGTTTCGACAATCTCTATGTCCATCAGGTGAGTGTTAATTGTTCTATATTATCAAATATACGCACCAAAATGGCAGTAAACTGACACCTTTGTAGCTATCTTGAGCAATAAAATAAAACACTAGAAGACGAAAACTTAAAACCCATCACGTTCCTCGCGTGTACTCCTCATATGTTTGTGTCAACTGCAGACATATAACTGATGGGGAATGAGTGGTTACCGATGATTTATCATAACTCCATTACATCCTCACATACTTTAAGTCCTATAATTAATTCCTAAAGTTCGATCTCAAAAAGTGAGATTTCACTTGAATTATACACTTTGGTATTGATCAGTTTTATAGACAGGATGAAAACGTTCTTAAGATTATAGAGACAGATGAAAAATAATCAACTGGTCAAAATGATGATCAACTTAATAACTATGAATGTCACAAGATTCAAGTTTTAGAAATTTAATTTTGAAAATAAATAGACAAACGGAAGTTTAGGAAAAGGGTTAGAGCAACGGAAACAAATTAAATGAATATTATCAGGTAGATGTTGGATTCGTTTTGAATGGGATGGATACATACATGAGTGGTTTGTGGTTGGATAATCCCACGAGTGGAAGGGTTGGATCAGTACATAAGAGGGAGTGGTTTGATCATACATTAGTGGTCGTAGTTGGATAAACCCACGGATGGGTGTGGTTGGATGAGTACATGAGTGAGTAGGTAGACAAGTACTTTCTGATTACATTTTTTGTGTGTGGATAGGCAGGCAGGAGGGTTACTCAGTAGACAAAATATTGAAGTTCTTGCGAGGCAGGATCAGGTATAACATTTGGGGGTTTAAGGCTCATGCTCGGTGATGATATGGAAAATTTGTTTACTGAGAATTATATAAAATATATATAAATATAATAATTTCCCCTGTATTTTAATGTAAATTTATTCTCCAATTTTTGTAAATCGTTTCTAGGTAAATAAGTATAACATTCAGTTTTTTTTAAAGATCTTGTTCTGTACTACTGAAACACTTGTTCACTAAGAATTGTAATGTATAATTCCCTTGTAACACTTATGTATATGTAATTTATATTGTATTTTTTTAAATAAAGATAAAAAAAAAGAAAAAAAAATTACTGGGAGTGGTGGGATTTGCACAATAATAGGATTGGTTGAATAAATCTTTAAATGGAAATGGTTGGATAAGTTCATTATTTAGAGAGGTTGGATATATACGAGAGCGCTCACTCGCATAAATATATGGGTTTTCTATACTCATTAGTCTAACTAAACAAACATAAACAAATGCAAACCTTAACTAAATTATCCTGACCCAACTAAATCTCGTAATCTATCCTAATCTATCTATGCCAGATTAAACTTTACCTTCCCTTACGTATCTATTTCTAACTTATTCTATCCTAACCCAAAGTAACTTAGGTCAACAGTTAGCAGCATTACCACAGAAGGCAACTCAGTCCAATAGTGTGCATTACTATAGAAGGTAACTTAGTCCAACAGTATGCATTACCACAGAAGGCAACTTAGTCCAATAGTGTGCATTACTATAGAAGGTAACTTAGTCCAACAGTATGCATTACCACAGAAGGCAACTTAGTCCAATAGTGTGCATTACCACAGAAGGCAACTTAGTCCAATAGTGTGCATTACCACAGAAGGCAACTTAGTCCAATAGTGTGCATTACCACAGAAGGCAACTTAGTCCAATAGTGTGCATTACCACAGAAGGCAACTTAGTCCAATAGTGTGCATTACCAAAGACGGTAACTTAGTCCAATAGTGTGCATTACCTCAGAAGGTAACTTAGTCCAACAGTGTGCATTACCTCAGAAGGTAACTTAGTCCAACAGTGTGCATTACCTCAGAAGGTAACTTAGTCCAACAGTGTGCATTACCTCAGAAGGTAACTTAGTCCAACAGTGTGCATTACCTCAGAAGGTAACTTAGTCCAACAGTGTGCATTACCTCAGAAGGTAACTTAGTCCAACAGTGTGCATTACCTCAGAAGGTAACTTAGTCCAACAGTGTGCATTACCTCAGAAGGTAACTTAGTCCAACAGTGTGCATTACCTCAGACGGTAACTTAGTCCAATAGTGTGTATTACCTCAGAAGGTAACTTAGTCCAACAGTGTGCATTACCACACATGAAAATGAAAGGAACTCTGACTGTGGAAGCAAGAAACATTAAGTATTCCGTCAGGTACACATGTAAACACCGGTAAAGTTTGTTAACGGGAAATCATGATCAACGCCTCTTGTGTAGTGGCGAGGTTGTAATAGACCCCCTGCTGTGACCACCTTCCCCCCCCCCCCTCTTCCTCTACACCCTCCTCCTACACACTATACCTCCCTCCCCCGGTCATCTACCCCCTCCCACACGCGGTGATCGAGATACCGACAGACTATCTGTAAGTCGGAAATTTACTTGATCTTAAGATAGGTTCTATCACCCACGACCTTCCTCTGGCGTGTGAGGAACTGATTAGTTTATAAGTGTGTACTCACCTAGTTGTGCTTACGGCGGTCTAGCTTCAGCTCTTTGGCTCGGCCTCAAAATTATCAATCAACTGGTGTACAGGTTCCTGAGCCTATTAGGCTCTATCATATCTACACTTGAAACTGTGTACGGAGTCTGCCTTTACCACATCACTTGCTAATTCATTCCATTTATTTACCATTCTGACACAAAATAATTGTTTCTAATGACTCTTTGACTCCTTTTGGCACTCAATTTCCACCTGTGTCCACTAGTGCGTATGTGCCCCTTGTGTTAAATAAACTGTCTTTGTGTACTCTATCAATTCCTTTGAGAATCTTGTATGTGGTGATCATGTCCCTCTCTTACTCCTCTGTCTTCCAGTGACGTGAGGTTTAATTTCAGTTGTCTCTCCTCATAGCTCATGCCCCTCAATTCGGGTGGAAAACCTCTGAATCTTCATTAATTTAGTCGTAGGCATGACGAAATATCGACTCCATGCTGGAGCTGCATACTCCAGAATTGGTCTTACATACCTGGTATACAAGGTTTTGAATGATTCCTTACATAAGTTTCTAAAGGACGTTCTTATGTTGGCCAACCTGGCCTGTGCCTCTGATGTTATCCTCTTGATATGGGCTTCGGTGTACAGGCCTGGCGTGATATCAATCCCCAGGTCTTTCTTTCTCTCTCTGAATCTAGAAGATCCCAAATGATACCTTGTATCTGGCCTCCTTCTCCTTACACCTATGTTCATTACATTACATTTGCTCGGGTTAAATTCTAACAACCATTTGTTGGACCATTCCTTCAGTTTGTCCAGGTCTTCTTGAAACTTCACGCTGTCCTCTGTCTTACTCCTTCTCATAATTTTGGCATCATCAGCAAACTTTGAGATCAATGAGTGGAATGACCACTCTGGACCACAATGACCCTTTGGAAGATCATTTACGTATATCAGAAACATGATAGGTCCGAGTACAGAACCCTGTGGGACTCTGCTGGCGAATTCACGCCAATCTGAGGGCTCATCCCCTCACAGTAACTCTTAGTTTCCTAATGTTTAGGTATTCCAATATCCACTGGAGCACTCTGTCAGTTATTCTTGCCTGTTTCTCCAACTTGTGCACCAGCCTCTTGACGGGTACTGTGTCAAAAACTCTCCAACAGTTCATGACAATGCTGTCTACCCAACCTTCTCATTCTTGCTTAATCTTTGTCACCTGATCGTTGAATTCTATAAAACTATGAGACAAGATTTCCCATCCCTGAACTCATGTTGATGGTGTGTCATAAAGTCCCTTCTCTCCAGATGTGCTTCTAGGTTTGTTCTCACGATCTTCTCCATCACCTTGCATGGTATACAAGTTAAGGACACTAGCCTCTAATTCAGTGTCTCTTACCAGTCCCCCATTTTTGTATATTGGGACTACATTCACTGTTTTCCATATTTCTGGTACGTCTCCCGTCTCCAGTGACCTACTATACACCATGGAGAGTGGCAAGTAAAGTACTCCTGCATACTCTTTCAGTACCCATGTTTAAGATTCCGTCCAGACCAACAGCCTTTCTCACATTCAGATCCAACAGATGCCTCTTAACCTCATCTCTGGTAATTTCGAACCCTTCTAAGGCTGCCTGGTTTACTGCCACCTCTCCTAGCTCAGGGAGTTCACCTCGTTTTATGGAGAAGACCTCCTGGAATTTCTTGTTGAGATTTTCACTCACCTCTTTGTTATTCTCTGTGTACCTGTCCTCACCTGTTTCAAGTTTCATCACCTGTTCTTTTGCACTGTTGTTTCCCACCTGATGTGACTGTGGAGCAGTTTTGGTTCGGTCTTGGCTTTATTTGCTATATCATTTTCATACTGTCTCTCTACTTCTCTTCTCACACTAACATGCTCATTTATGGCTGTCTGGTATCTCTCTCTGATTTCTGGTGTTCTGTTATTTCGAAAGTTCCTCCACGTCCTTTTGTTTTGTTCCTTTGCTTTCATACATACCCTATTAAACCACGGATTAATTTTTCACTTCTCATTTTTGTCCCTTTAGGCTGGGATAAATCTGTTTTCTTCCTCCTGACACTTTTGGGTGACATAGTCCATCATGTCTTACACGGTCTTAGTTCTGAGTTCCCATGGTATTTCCCATGTCCCATGGTATTTCTCTTTGGAATTTTCTCATTTCCTCATAATTTCCCTTTCGATACGCCAGCCCCTTGTTATCTAATTCTTTTTTGGAAATGATTACTGCTAGCTCAACCAGGTACTCAAATATCAGTACACTCTGATCACTCATTCCCAAGGGAGCTTCCAACATAACTTCCATTTTATCCGACTCATTCAGGGTGAATATTAGATGAAGCATAGCTGGTTCGTCTTCTCTCATTCTTGTCGGTCCCTTGATGTGTTGGCTTAGAAAGTTTCATGTTGCCACGTCCAGCAGCTTAGCTCTCCATGTGTCTGGTCCTCCAAATGGATCACTGCTCTACCAATCTATCTTCCCGTGGTTGAAATCTCCCATGATTAGCAGTCTGA